CTTCAGGGACGCTCATGAAGCCTCTGGAGGGCGTGTGTGTGTGTGTGTGTGTGTGTGTGTGTGTGTGTGTGTGTGTATGTATAGGCGCTTTTCACCCTCCCCAGGCTCCTATAAAGCCTCTAGAGCCTGGGGAGGGCGAAAAATGGCTTTAAAAAAAGGGTGAACTCAGGCTGGCCAGCTGACAAGGCAGCACCTCCCGTGCCCTGACAAATCGCTCCACATGCCACCTGTGGCACGCATGCCATAGGTTCACCATTACTGTTCTAGAGTAAAAACAAAACCATCTTTCTACTTTGTTCAGTTATTAATACATTTGTCCAAAAGATAAATTGCAGCAGAATCATTTTATCACAGCTAAAATCTAAATATGTAACTTTTTTTCCCATTTTTCAATATATTATATTGCTGTCAGGTCCTTTACATCCCTATTGGGACACTGCCATTCCCGGATGTTCCTTTACAATCTCTTTCCTGTTTCTGGTCTTCCTGTCACTTTGATGTACCTGCTTGGGAAAGGGAGAGAGAGGAATTGGCCTGGGGCATCTGTTTTGACAGTTGCGCCTGAGAACCTATCATCTTCTCACAACAATTTCACTCCTGTGGATTGCCCCGCCTCGGGCTGGACATAGCAGAAGGGTTTTTCTGCAACGTTTAACCCAACAGCAACAATTTCAGATCCTGCCTTGATTTCTTTGCTATCACTTTCTCTCAATAAAAGTTTCCTTTTGAAATAATGCCTGCTTCAAGGGTTCTGCTTTCTTGAAGAGAGAGGAGAGGCAGGTCCTTACATGTGTTTTATTATCTATTTTCACAAATTCCTATTTTATCTTCTCAACTGTGTTAAATATTATGTTTTTAATAATATTTCATTTCCTTGTTATAAATCATATTATTACAGATTATTTCTACCTTATTTTTTACTAATTCTACGATCAGTTTAATTAGTCATATTTTGCCAAGGTTTCCCCCTCTAATTCCTGTCTAATTGAATGAAACAGCTTGCAATGGTATGATATAGGAACAGAATCAATTTATTCACATTCTGTTTCTTTTGGCCATTTTAAACAACATCTATTCCTTCTACCGCGTTTCCCCGAAAATAAGAACTGGCCTTATTTTCTTTTGGGCCCCAAAGTAAGCATGAGGCCTTATTTTTGGGGAATGACTTATTTTTTTGACACAGGCATGTCGGGGAGGCTGGTGCTGCGACCATGAGACAAGGCAGGGGGCGGGACTGGCTGCCTCCTGTGTGAAAAAGACAAAGCAAAAGACAAAGCAGGGTGTGGAAAAAGGTCTGTTCAGGAAAAAATAGGCAGAAAGAGCCAGGCGAAAAGCCCCACCCTTCTGCCCGCCAGGTCGCTTCACCCTTCCAGAGAGAAGCCAAAGTTTCGATCCTGCTTCTGGGCGGAGCACAGGGCAGGGCACACATGCAGCTTGCCCTGCAGAGCTTTGCCCAGCCTTTCCCATCAGGAAGGAGTCTCCTGCCTTCCGTGGGGCCCTTTCAGTCCTTCCTGCAGCTGCAACCCCCCTCCAGCCCCGCAATGTTGCCCATCTCGGTGAGGGCCCCATCCAGACGGTGGTGAAGGATACTGTTGTGTCAGTGGGGCCTGCAGAGCCCTGATGCTGATGAGGTGAGGCAGCACTACAAGTCCCAGCCACAGCATAGGAGGGGCAGCAGGAGACACTCTGTTGGCTGCTGTTGCCAGGTTAGATGGGGAAGAGGCCACCAGCATCAGGCTCTGCAGGCGGGATGATGGACTAGGCAAGCTTGGGTGGGGATGGCGCCATGCTATCCTACATAACTCCCCAGCTCCGCCCCACCCCATCAACAGTTGGGTGAGAAGAGGAAAGAGCTGCTCTGCCCATTCAATGACATGGCTGCCCGCCCACCTATTCCCTTTCACTCCCCTCCCAAGCCGGACTTCCATGCTATAGAGGATGGGCAGATGAGACTCAGTCCCCTTACCCGGTCTCTCTCCACTTTTTCAGAGCCAGTGATGGCAAAAGGCCTCTGCCAGCGCTGCGCATCAGCCTCTGCTGGAGGAGCTTTCTTCTGTCCCCCCACTTCTCCAGAGATCACCTGCCCAGCAACAGCTGCCTCCTCCTTCTCCTGTACCTGCTCTTTGGTCCTGAGGCACTGCTTCATACTGCCTGGTCTCCGTTTGGCGTTTCAAAGATGGCAGGTCTGGAGGCCTGCAGCTCTGCCTCCGTGTTTCAGTAGATGCCAGTTTTGCCTTGAGATGGGCCCATTTCAATGCCTGGAGCCGTTGGGAGGGTGTTGCCTTGCCACCTGCTTTCCAGCTCTGTTGTGTTTCTCCACTGCCACATGCAGGGCAACAAAAGAAATTTGTGGGACTAAAAAAAGTTCAATCAGACCTTTCCACTTGCAAAAAGATCTTGTGAAGTTGGAAGGTCTGATTGAACTTTTTTTAAAATACCACTACTTCTTCTTTCCCTGCATGTGGTGGCAGAGAAATACAATGGAACTGGAAAGCAGGTAAGCAAAGGAATGCTTTGGAGAAGAGAGGGAAGCTGGGCGGTGATGCTCCAAGCTCTACAGTGGTGGAGAAACGCAACAGAGCTAGAAAGCAGGTGGCAAGTCAAACCATCCCCAAGGGCTCCAAGTGCTGAAATTGACATGTCTGAAGGTAAAGCCGGCATCTCCCAAAATGCAGCAGCAGAGCTGCCTCATTTGAAATGGTGAACGGGGACTAGGCAGCACGAGACAGTGCCAAAGTGGCAGGTGTAGGAGGAGGCAGCTCCCCTTGCCACCTGCCTCGCCTCATGGTGGTGCCATGCGCCCTCCTGTCCTCTGATGCGCCTGTGAGCAACCAGATGGTGCGACTGAGTGGGCAGGGCTTAAGTAGGGTTCATTTTGGGGCAAGGCTTATATTAGATGCAGGTGTAAAATCAGGCTAGGTCTTATTTTTGGGGAAATATGATAGTTGCTTAATATTCTATAGAATGTTTGGGACATGTTTGGGATGAAGTCATGTAAACATCAGGGTAACATCTTCTATTACCAACAAGTTGGTAAGTTGTACTCCCCTTCCCCTCACTTGCCTTCTTATAAACCTATTTTCAGAAACATGGCCTAAAGAAATATGTTGTTTTTCATGTTTTAAAGCTGTCAGGAAAGTTCAGTTATATTTGATTCACTGTACTCTGTATTTAACCATTTGAAATCATCATTGGCTAGTCTTTCCAATGAAAACGGACATACATTAAAACAATGACATTAATAGAAAACCACCACAAGCTTATTCCTCGGGGGAATGTGATTACTCCACATGCCCTGAGTGACTGGAAAAGACTGCCTCAGAAGCTACTCTTGTCCTTATCTTTAAAACTCCCAAATTTCAACAGTTTTCTAGAACCTAGACCTTTACCCACCCAAATAAACACCTTTCTATTTTTGTAGCCATGCATATATGGGTTATTTTCTTCTGCTGTGAGTGTATTTAGCCTTCTATTTTTATAAGCTGAAATACAAATTATGAATTGAATGGTAGAACAGAAACATTTTCAATAAACAGAAAGTGGTGCTCAAGCCAAGGCATTCACTGATTTAAATATTATAAAAGTGTTGAAACTTAATCCTGATTTCAGATGTTTATTATTTAAGTATTTATAGCACTCACACCTATACAACCCAAAGTATGCATCCAGTATGAAGGTGACATCTTTGTTATAAGAAAAGACCAACCAAAGAACACATACAAAATTGGCAACAACTTCAAAGATATAAAATTCACAAGGGAAGAAGAAAAGACCATGCTACTTTTCCTGGATATCCTCATCAGCAGAGATAGCAATGGCAAATATAGAAATACAAGTTTATTGAAAAATCACCCATACCAACCAAGTGTGCTAAAATATTAATAATATTATATTAATATATTAACCCAGTCTCTCCCAAGAGTAGCTGTGCAAAGAATACTATTTAGATGAGCACAATCATGCTTCAGCAAGCCTTAATATGAGAAAAAGGAAACAGATCATCTATACATCTTGCAACAAAATGGATATCCATGCAACTTCATAAAAAAGTGCCTGACACTCAACCCAATAAAGCCCTCCAAAACATCCTAAGTAAACCAAAAGACCAAGCAGAAAGCAGGAGTGTAAGGACTGCAATATCCTGTACATAGGACAAAAGGCAGAAGACTAGCAGAAAGCATATATGAGCATCAACTTAGCAGTCAGAAAACTTGAGGAAAATTCCTTAATTTCACAATACGTGGATAGACTTAACCATAGTTTCAGCTAGGAAACATAAACCACCCTAGATCAAAACACTACAGAATTCCTGGAAACCTGGCATTCTGACAAATTGACTATCAATAGGCACAAAGATGTAAACAACATCTATATACCATTCAAGAGAGACAACCAACAAAGGAACAAAAAGACCAGAACACCTCCTCACCAGCAATCAACACCCAGGTGACGAGATTAATGCCAAGATTAACATTAGTCCAAAAAGAAGCAAACAATGCCCAATTAAGGAATTCCCAAAGAAGCTAATAATAAACTCCACAATCAAAGGACTACCAAGACCACTCCCAGCAATTCTAACAGGGCAAACTATTAGAATATAAATGAGAGCAAACCCCACTCCTTACTAGCACTGATGATGTTACCTAATTTGGATAATGAAATGTCTGCAAGAAAACAGTCAAGCTCAGGGAACACCGAGGAATCCTTATTATAGCTTTCTTTCATAACATGATGAAACTTGAGATTGTTAATTAATTCCAAACTATATTTTAAAAAAATAAATTCAAATCATTAGCTTTTGTATGCATTACATTAAAATCCTCAGAATCTTACCATTATTACCAGGTCCTGGTGCTCTCTGAGCTTGGTTGTTTGCTGTCAGCTCTGCCATCTTTGCTATGCTTCACCAAGCTTGATGGCATCCAAGGAAAGAGAGAGAGAAGGGATGGACACCTCCTGCAGCATCCTGCTGGCCAAAACATGGCACAGGGCGGGAGCATATGTGGGCATCTTGCACCCTGTTTTGGCCACCAGAGTGTTGCAGTAGGCCGACTATTGGGTCTTTTAGTTTAGTTAAGATGTTTTGGAAGGACTTAGTTGGTTTATATGCTACTGTAATGCTGTGTGGTTGTAATAGTCTTTTGGCTGTTCTGAAACTTTTGATGTATGGTAGTGTTACCCTTTTATCAAGGATCAAGAAGTTATTATCCCACTACAGTGATTAAACCTATGATGCTAGTCAGAAAATGACTCAACCCAGTACAGAATCAACAAGGATACGTGCTATCATAGAAGGGGGGGAAAAAACAGGAGTCATCTACAACATGGGTAAGGACTAACAACTACGTAGGACGGACAGGTAGAAGACTAGCAGAGCACATCAATGAACACAAACTTGCAATCAGAAGACATGCTGAAAATTCACAGCACATGGACAAAATAAATAATAGTTTCAACTGGAAAACCGTGAGCACCTTAGATCAAGCTAAACCCATAAATACTAGGGAATTTCTGGAAGATGAGATACATACAAATAAACCATATTCACAAACCATTCAAAAGAGATGAAAGACTAGAACACATCCTTTCTAACAGTCAGATAAGCAGGAGTTAACGCTAAGCAAACAATCAAGCAGAAAACAATACTCTAATCCAAGGAACATCATATGCTGGGCATGTACTGTATATAAATGGAGCAAACTCCATACTCATTTGCAATGATGATATTACCTAGTTGAAAATGAAACATCTGCAAGCAAGCAAGCTCAGAGAACACCAAGGATTCAAAAGTTGAACCCTGAGCTACAGATAATCTATTCTATTTAATTCTTACCATGATTGTTTTCTATATTTCCATGAACAAGAGCATCTGGTACTTTAGCATTTACATCAGTCTTGCTACATTGAGCATTCTCAGAATTTTCTCCTAATTCAAATGGTACTGAACTGGAGTTGGAGACATCCTTTTCTTCAGTAACTTCAGTTTTTACATATTTCCCATCTTCTTTGGATTTATTTCCAGCCATATGTGTTTCAGCAGATAGACCACGGCTACCGACACAGGAATCAAAACTTATTTCTGCACAGGGAAGTTCAACTATATTAACAGATTCCATTGTACATGTGGAAATGTCTATGCTTTTACTATTGCCATCAGTCCTGGATATCACTGAAGGTTCTCTGCTTTCCTCCCTGCCCTGGATCCCTTGGCCATCATTAGGTAACTCAACTAAATTCTTACTGTTTTTTAAATCTGTCAACATAGCGGGATCCAATTCTTCAGGGCACACATTGGTTTTCTCTACCAATTCTGTGCTTGTCAATGTACATGGAATTTCTTCTGAGACGGCAACCCCTGTTCTGTCAGGATTCTTTGCAAGATCCTCTGTAGTTGAAGCAATAAACATCTGTTCAGATATACTGAATTCAAGGCCATGACATATTCCTACTTTTGTAAGTAAATGCATGTCACTTTCATCTAATTCAGATTCTTGGCTTGTAGCTTCTTGAACAGTCTTGTACTTTTCTACTTCTGGAGAGACCACTGTATTTTCACTTCTGTGTTTTGTTTCTATTGGCACTACACTATGTGTAACTCTGTTATATATCTCAGTTGCAAGCTGAGCAAAATTCAATTTTCCTTCTGTTTCAGAGATCTGATTCATTTGTTTCTCAGTAGAAAATTCAAAATGTTCTACTGAACTTGTTGAGATTGTGGCAGTATCAGTAGTTTGCTCCAGTCTTGGATCAAAGCATTGAGCAATGTCTTCATTGCCTTCCTCTGAAACAGGAGTTTCTGTGTATTCAATTATACTTGTGGAAATTGTAGCACATTCATCCCTTCCCTCTTCATCACCAATCACCTGGCTTTCATTGCTTCCTCCAGTGAATACACTGGGCATATCAATGGCATTTATCTCCATGCTGCTGGTTTTCTCTACAACTCTGTTAGTGGCAAGTACAGTGTCAGTATCTTTCACTGTTACGATTGGCATTGGAGTTGCAAATTCTTTTAAAATACTAGTAGAAACTTTATTAGATTTCATAACATCTCCATCTTGATTCATATATTTGACAGTTGTACTTGGTGCAGGAAAACTGAAATCTTCAGATGTTAGTAGACCTTTGACCTTCTCTAAGTTTTCAACTGTTCTAGCAACAAGTGGTAATGTTGGCTCATTGTGCTTGACAGAATGTGCTGAAATAGAGCACAATTTGGCCCCACTTGTAGAGATGATTTCACCTTTACTTTTATCCTTTTCATTAGCAGATGCTGAAAGTATATTTATTTCCTTAGATACCATCTTAATCAGTTCTCCACATTTCCTGTTATCCAAGGAAGATTCAGTGTTCTCACTCCGCTCTTCACTAACCAATGGTTGATTTATACTTTGTTCATTTAAGAGTTCATTGTTATTCTTAAGTGTCTCGGTGAACAGAGAATCCTCTTTCGGGGAGACAAATGCCATATTTTCATTACTTATGCCAACACTAGTGGTGCTACTTGCAACTGTCCCCTTTATATTATCACTATCAACCTTCATTTCTTTTGATAAGCATGCCATAATATCAATAGAACTTTTATTTGCATTTAATGAATATTCATCCAACCCTGTTCCAAGCTGATCTGTAGATAGACAGACAGAACTTTCATGTTCTGTAGTTCCCATGTTAATAAGCAACATTCCACTTTCTTCTGTTCCTGTACAAACCAACACATGTTCTGCTTCTTCATTGCCTCTTCCTGTACTAGTTACAAAATTTTCACTTTCTTCATCTTCTTCTTTTTCACCTGTGCTGGTTACACAACCTTCATCATCAATATATGAACCTTGACTGACTTCAACAGTATTTGTTTCAGTTCTAGCTTCTGTACTGTCTGTGGCAAGTTGATATTTTCCTTCTGTGTCTGAGGCTCCTACAAATCCTTTCTGGTTTTCCTCCAAAAGAGTACAAGCAGGATCATCTTCTGCTATTATTCCTGTGCTACTGACAGCACTCTCACCATTTACAATGTCTTCACTTTTGTCAGCACGGGATACTGTTGCTAGGTTATTTACCATTTCAGGGCATTGCCCTGTTACAGCATTCTCTTGTGAATCTGTACCAGTCACTGAACAGATAACAGAACCAATGAGCTCAGTTTCTATAGCTGTACAAGTCACAGTGCCCTCAGCTGCTTTAGCTTGTTCAGATTGAACTGAGTTACTCTGAAAGGTATCTGGATCACCAATCATAGACTGATTCTGAGCTTCAGTACCTGCACTGGTTACAGCACCATCACTTTCTATTTCACCTGTGCATGTGGCACCACCATGAAATCTGCTCATTTCAACATAGTTGGAAGCCACACATTTTTGTTCAGAGCTTGCACTGGTTACAGCATCATCTTTCTCTTCTGTTACACAGCTATTCACACGTTGATCAAGTTCATCTCTTCTTCCATTGACTGCCTTCTTTGTACTTTCTTGTATGTAATTCACAGAGCATTCACCACTTTCTCTTTCCTTTGTACTGGTTGAAGAACTCTCACATACTGCAAGCTCTTCCATAACAGCACCACTTTCTTCAGCCGTTGTGACAGTCCACTCACCAATTGCTTTTTCTGTCACAGAATGGGCATTTTCTTTACTTTTGATCCACGGACTCAAAGTGAAACCTTCATCTGCTTCTATACTTGCACAACTTAAATGAGCCTTTCTTTGTTCTTCTGAGCAAGTAATAATGGCTTCACCTTCAGTCAGCAAATTTGACATGTCTTCATCTCCATGGTTTTCTTTAATACTATCAGCTATGGAAGGGATCCCAGTAGGTCTTTCTGTGCTAGTTCCTATAACATTTGCATCAGTTTCCATGCTACTGTGACTAACAATGCAATGGCTACCTTCTACACTACTGTCTACTACACTTCTTTCATTATTATCTTCAGCAACTTCTTTCATATCATTTCCTCCTTTGTTGAATGCAGATACTTTGATTTTTTTTTCTGAAACATTCTTGGGCACTGAACCTGAAGACAATTCTACTAAATTATTAATACTCTGATCTTTGTCTATTTCCAGTTTATATTCTGCAATATTCTCACTGAAATGATCCCTTTCTACTTTCTCCAAGTTGATTAAAACATATTTGTTTGCACTTAAATTTGTAGGTGCTGCTTCTGAACCAATGAGATTATCATTCTCTAAGATACTAGTTGATGCACTTTCAGTTCTTTTTTGCTCAGTAACTTCCTGAATGCCTGCTACAGCACTTATCCTATTTCTAGGTATTAATTTAGAAGGTAAATGTATTGTGTCCTCTGAGTTTTTAATTCTTATATTGGCAGGATCATCTTTCAGGTTTGCATTGAGTTCGATGTTATCATAAAATTTCATTTTAACATCAAGGGTTTGACTATCTGAAATAGTATATTTAACACAAGATCTATTCAAAGATCCCTCTTTAGATCCATTATAAGGATCAGTGATTTCTGGAAGATCTACATCCATAGATTTCTGATGTGCACATTCTCTTGTTAAACTCTTTATTGACGAACTACTTTTCCAACTTTGATGACCGCTACTTGTAAGATTCGTTGGACTATGACCATCCTCAGTCATTCCATGAAATTTTAATTTTTCATTTTCATGAGCAGCATCAGGTAAAACGTGATCAGTTTCTTCAGAAGCAGCATTTACATGATGATGTTCTTTTTCAAAACAACTTAAATCCTTTGGAATCTGCCTGAAGGTGCCACTTGATACATTTTCTTCCTTAGTAGGAAAAACTTCCACTTTTTCTTCAGAGTTACTGAAATTTGAATACGTTGTATTGAATTCAGACATTAAATGATGATGTATTTGGTCTTTGACAATATTTTTCAGTTCAGCTCTCCCTTGTAAATTATTACTGCTTTCTTCCTCAATTTGGCTTTGTTGATTATGTATATCACTGCAACAGTCTTCCATTGGCTCCTGGGTTTGATCAGAATACAGTAAGTGCCCAGTAGTCTTTTGAAGAGAAATGAAAGGGCTTGTGAAGGCTGGTATTTTTCCCTCTCTCGTATCTATTTCTTGGGTTGATGTATTCACCTTTCGATTTTCATTACTTAATTTTTTAATAGGCTTCTTCTCTGTGTGCAGATTTTCTAGCACCTTTGCATTGTTTTCTACTTCTTTCATGCCTTTGTCTTCTGATTTTCCCTCATCTCCTTTCTTTTTCATGTCCTTGTTATGCTTAAAATTTCTGCTTTTGTGATTATCTGCTGACAATCTCCTTTCCAGTCTAGAAGTACTCAAATATTTATCACTTTTACTTCTCTCTCTTATTTTTTCTCCTAATTGCCCCTTAACTTTATGATTAGCATCTTTTTGGAAACTACTTAGTGAATGTGCTTCACTTTCAATTTCCAACTCAGTTGAATTTTCTTCAAAAAATTTCATTTCTTGTTTGAACTTAGGTTGTTTATCTGGATTACTCTCTTCTGAATGTTTATCTTTGTCCAATTTCTGCACAGATTCATGCTTAGATAAACTTTCTTGTAATTCACTTTCAGGTACTTTTGCTGATTTGTTATAACTCTTGGACACTGGTTTCAATACAATCCTTTCTTCTAAGCCACACTTTGATCTTCGTCTGACTTTGTGTAGATTATCACCTTGCCGCAAAATATGATCCAAATTGGATGATTCTGCATCATGCTTTTCTTCTTCATTTCGTTTTGATGTTATGGAAGAAACATGAATCTTTGAGGCACTCTGTGACTCTTTTGGTGGCCTAGAATCATTTGGAAACTTCCTGGATTTGTACTCTGCTTTCAATTTCTCTGTGGAAAGCTGCCTCTCTTTTCTATTGGTCTCTTTGCGCATAGTCTCATTTTTTTCTGAAATGTTTTTCATCTCTTTGCTGTTCACGGAAGCCTTTCTTTCACTTCTATGCTTGTTTTTCTTTTCAGTTTTATCATCAGGCAAAACTTTTGCTAGTTGATTATTTTTCACAACGGTTTCTTCATTTCTCATGTTCTTCTCAGAAGGTACATTTTCAACATTTTCACTTGTTTTCTGAACATTTTCTCCTTTACATTTATACTTCATTAATGATTTGTCTTCAGAAAGACTTCTTTCTTTTTCATTTTTATCTTTTGATGGCCTCACCTCCTTCTTCAGTACATTCTTAACACCTGGTGTTTCTGACTCATCCTTTTTAATATGTTTTTCATTTTTAAGTACATTCCTTTGCTTTTGAGGTTCTTCTGGACTGACCTCTGCCATCTCAAATTGAGATTCTCCTTCAACATCTGGCTGGATAACCTCCAATTGGAAAGAGGCAGACGTTCTTCTCTTGTGTTCCTTTTCAACTTTGATTTCACTTTTGTTTTCCTCTGGTGAAAGTCCCAATTCTGCAATTTTTCTAACAACTTTATTTCCATTTTTGCCTTGACTGACTTTAATTTCTTTTGAAGACAACTTTTCAGTACCCTGAAAGATAAAAAAGGGACAAATTGTTAAGTAATCTTTAGTTCAAATACTGATAGCTTCATTTATAATTATTTATAAAATGGATTGGATCCAGTGCTCTTCTTAAGTGAAATTTTGCTATTGTTAGAAACAATTTCCTCCAACACAATTGCTTATGCCATTTGTATGTCAGATCTCTAAAAGTGAACTGCCATTCAATTGGGAGGAGGGGAGCCTCGGAGTTAAATCATTAGCTACATCTGTAACAACTGAGTTTTACAACTTCACAACTGGTTTCCTGTCACCGGGAGACTGAAGATCCCAACATCTCTGGAGGGATGTTTATGATAGCCATGTGGGATATATTACTTTGATGTAATATATCAAATATATACGTCCATGGGAACGTGTGTTTTATTGACTCCCAGGGTAGAAGAGTTAAGGAAGCATCTTCAAACTTGTGTATTGGTCAGAATCTGCATTCAGACAAAAGGGCGGGGTCA